CATGTTATCCGGTATATGGTAAGTCACTCCATTGTTTTGTAATGATCCTGTTGAAAAAGATGTATATTGTAACACAAGTGATCCTGTATATGGTAAGTCACTCCATTGTTTTGTGCCACCCTTCTCAACAGGATCATATCACTTGTTTTACAATGTCTGGTATATGGTCAGTCACTCCATTATTTTGTGGTGATCCTGTTGATAAGGGTGGACATTGTAAAACAAGTGATCCGGTATATGATCAGTCACTTCATTGTTTTGTGGTGATCCTGTTGAGAAGGGTGGACATTGTAAAACAAGTGATCTGGTATATGGTCAGTTTCAAGTTGGTCATCCAGACCTACATTATGTACAGTTTGATCTATCATTAATATTTTCGAAAACGGAACACCTCTAGCCGCCTACAAGGTATTGAGGACAGCAACATTCATAGAGTTAAAACTTGTTTTAAAGGTAAATAAACATATATAGTCAAGTACATGACAGTACTGTCAGAAATGACGCAAAACCGCTAAAAAAACTCCAATTATCAAAGTGGAGATGGGGGGTAACCCCTTCCTATCATAAAATAATTCTCATTTTCATCATTAGAACAACCAACTCATTTTTGTTGTGTGTGGGGGGGGGCAGATCAAATATATCTCCGACTTTTTTTAACACCACCCCTAACTAACAGCTGTAACAAGTTATAAATCTAAAAATCACGTTTTCATTATAAGAAAAAGTAGCAGATTCATACAATATTTGGCTAACGTGAACAAAAGGCTCATTATTTTTATTCTGTCCGGAATTTTTGTTTTTAAATAAAGACTTTTGTGCAGGCTGTTTCGTGTCGCATTTAAATGATAAAATAGGCCCACACAAAGGCTGGTCTTTCTTCTAACAAGTCAAAGATGTAGTTCAACAAGATGAATTAATTTTAAGTGGATTGAACTTTTTCAGAAAGTTGATTTACCTATTTCAAAGGCTTAACTACCACGATGGTGGACTCGGCTCTAGTTCACGAGTACTTATAGTAATTAGATGCAGAAGAGAACTGAAATATGAAAACCTCATTATAGATGTGACCTAGTGATTCACTGAAAACTAAAACAGTCGTCAGATAAATAAACACAAATGGTTCAGTGTTATTATGTGAATATCTAAACGTGTGTTGTTGTTGTTTTCAGCATATTGTACGCCGATATCGTGAATTCCATGTTGCTAACAGCGAATCTGAAAGTAAACGAACTCGTTATGACGTTGAATGAGCTGTTTGGACGCTTTGATGAAAAAGCTGAGGTATGACTATAAGTTAAGTTATGAGATATGTCATCCATATCACTCTTTGTCGTGACAGAATCATGATTAGTTTGTTTTATATGTCATCCATATCGCTCTCTGTCGTGACAGAATCATGATTAGTTTGTTTTGTGTTGCTATCTGCCACTGTAATTTGTGACTTGTCATTAAATTGTGTTACATTGTGTGCTGTTCTTGAAATCCGAAGTTCAAATCCGAAGTTCAGGAGCTACAGTAGAAGTTTATCAATTTAGCCAGGTTATAGGTAACAATAATTTCTCTGAATTATTTTATATATTATCGTGACAAGGCCTTTTTTACTGATGGTTATAGGTAACAATGATTTCTCCGAACTATTTTATATATTATCCTGACGAGGACTGTTTTACTGAAAGTTATAGGTATCAATAAGTTATATGAATTATTTTATATATTATCGCGACGAGGCTTTTTTTTACTGATGGTTATAGGTAACAATAATTTCTCCGAACTATTTTATATATTCTCGTAACGAGGCCTTTTTTACTGATGGTTATAGGTATCAATAAGTTATATGAATTATTTTGTATATTATCGTGATGAGGTATTTTTTACTGATGTTTATAGGTAACAATAATTTCTCTGAATTGTTTTATATATTATCGTGACAAGGCCTTTTTTACTGATGGTTATAAGTAACAATAATTTTTCTGAATTATTTTATATATTATCGTGACGAGGCCTTTTTTACAGATGTTTATAGGTAACAATAATTTCTCTGAATTGTTTTATATATTATCCTGACGAGGCTTTTTTTACTGATGTTTATAGGTAACAATAATTTCTCTGAATTATTTTGTATATTATCGTGATGAGGTATTTTTTACTGATGTTTATAGGTAACAATAATTTCTCTGAATTGTTTTATATATTATCCTGACGAGGTATTTTTTGCTGATGTTTATAGGTAACAATAATTTCTCTGAATTGTTTTATATATTATCCTGACGAGGTATTTTTTGCTGATGTTTATAGGTAACAATAATTTCTCTGAATTATTTTGTATATTATCGTAACGAGGCCTTTTTACTGATGATTATAGGTATCAATAAGTTATATGAATTATTTTGTATATTATCGTAACGAGGTATTTTTTACTGATGTTTATAGGTAACAATAATTTATCTGAACTATTTTATATATTATCGTAACGAGGCCTTTTTTACTGATGGTTATAGGTATCAATAAGTTATATGAATTATTTTATATATTATCCTGACGAGGCCTTTTTACTGATGATTATAGGCAACAACATGTATCGTTTTTTAATTATTTCATCAGGCCGTATTCTGGCATAATAAAATTAAAATTAATTACAGTTATTAATGAGCTGACGTGTAATGTATTGAATATCATATAAGCCAGGTCAGTATGTTAAAATGAACTGGTTTCTATTTTAAAGCCCTATATTAAGGTAACAAAAACAAATTACACTTTCGTTTTGACTTCATGTTTAAAATCATCAGTATACCAGAGGTTGGTATCTGTTTAACGATTTATTTTATTTTATTTTCTCCTACGTTAACAGGTTACACTTGCTAGAATTCCCACTATGAGTTTTAAATATAGGCGAGAGATAGAAAAGGTAGATATTTTCCTACTTCTAAAGTAACTTCCATTTATCTAATTCTAGAAAAATAAATGCACACGTGTCAAACTACTTGGAGACTGCTACTATTGTGTGGCAGGTGTGATTGAAACTGATGTAGACCATGCAAAAAACAGCGTCGAAATGGGACTTGACATGATTGACATTATCAGGTAGATCAAAGCTGACATTTGTTTAAATATTCTGGTCTTTTGAGCACTTGAGATTAAATACCTTTGTTCATTGCTACACACCAATCTCTACATTGTCACAACATAAAAAAAATCTAAGAAATCCATAACATTATGTAAATGTGTTCTTGTTGTACATATGTTATCTGCTTTAGTATTTTTTTTTAATCGTTCCTAGTTTTTTATTAACATTTTGTTACTAGGTAACGAAACATGCAGATACATTATCTACAGGATTCTCGAAACTAATCTGTGTTTACATTATAAGGACTGTCCGTGAGGAACAAGGAATAGACGTTGACATGCGCATTGGAGTGCACACTGGAAATGTTCTGAGTGGACTTATCGGACTCCGCAAATGGCAGTTTGACATTTGGTCACGAGACGTTACAATAGCTAGTCATATGGAACAATCTGGAAAACCTGGGTGAGTTTGAATCAACAATCTCTTGTATGGTGTATAGGGAAACGACATTTCGAAAAACTTAAATTTGTCACATTTAAAATATTTATTTGTTTGCGTGTATTATATGTATACACTAATAATGACTGGAGACTGATGATGACAAAACTTTGTCGAAACGTTGTACATTTACTGTTATGTTAAACTTATATTAAAGTTTTTCTTCATTATCCATTCAAACCGTCTCCAGCCAATATTAGTGGTGTTACGTTTCCGTTTGTTAATTGATTTTTCGGTAACTTCGTTCCAACGAAACTTTAACGACACAAGTCTTTACTTAATAAAACTGGTTTATTCTTTCCGAATATAACTTTACGAAACACTTAATTTCAATATTCGCGTTAAAACAAACACTATAACGAACGAACGTTAACTTCAACAATACCCTGTGACTGCAGTTCAATTACTCACTATCTACACACACATTACATTACTGTCACGTTGTCACCCTCTTTTATATACCCGACTACCCTATATCTAGTAAATACTAGAGCATTCGCCAAAGTACAGGATAGTTCTAGAACGTGGCGTCACAGTAGTCATGTGACTCGCTGACGCAACAGTGGGTTCCTCGTCATCGAATATGTATACACAGTTTGTGCATTTGATTCTTTATAACAACTACAATGTTCAGTTTCATAGATAAAATATTTATATACTATGCATAAATAACACAACAGAGAGGACTACTTTCATAAGTAACAAAATAGAGAAGACTACTTTGATAAATAACAAAATAGAGAGGACTACTTTCATAAGTAACAAAATAGAGAGGACTACTTTCATAAGTAACAAAATAGAGAAGACTACTTTCATAAGTAAGAAATAAGAGGACTACTTTCATAAGTAACAAAATAGAGAGGACTACTTTCATAAGTAACAAAATAGAGAGGACTACTTTCATAAGTAACAAAATAGAGAGGACTACTTTCATAAGTAACAAAATAGAGAGGACTACTTTCAAAAGTAAGAAAATAGAGAGGACTACTTTCATAAGTAACAAAATAGAGAGGACTTCTTTCATAAGTAACAAAATAGAGAGGACTACTTTCATAAGTAACAAAATAGAGAGGACTACTTTCAAAAGTAAGAAAATAGAGAGGACTACTTTCATAAGTAACAAAATAGAGTTAGTCTTGCTATTAGCCTTCTTAATAGTTCTCAGGATTAAAAGATTGAAATAAAGAAATATTTATGTGAAAGACTTTCTTTTTATAAGAAACAGCAACTGAAATATTTCGTTATAGGAAGCCTACATTATACTCCATAATATTTGAATGATCTACTTCCGGGTGTCTGTGGCGGTCATTTCACTTTGTTTGCCATTATAGGTAGAAATTCCTATAATTTTAGTACTCTTGTCCGGCTTTTTGTGACACTGCACCTAAGATATCATATCCTTGCTGTTCTGGCCCAATAATGAGTTGCAGTTTTTAAAGAAGTGATTCTGATATTTTAAATCAATCAGAAACTTATTTAATGTTAATGAAATAATTGCTTCTTTTAAACTGACGAGATGTACATAAATAAAACAATTTCATGCTGTTTCTAATCATCTATATTTTTAAAGATATTTAAAGAAGTTTGGCACATTACATTTATTCCGTTTTCAAATCACTATTTTTTTATACTTTACCAATTTATTTAATTGTTAGGGTGAGCATGTTTTAGTAATTAGCGTGAATCTGTTTGTGCCCCTTCGTCGAAAACATTACCCTTTTCTCTTTGGGGTCGTAGGTGCGTTATAAGTGTAAGGCTCAAATTCCACTTTTCGATTATAGTAGCCCAAGAGTTGGAGGCGGGCGCTTGTTCACTAGATATTTTTCCTTTAAGATATCAGTTCCAGGATGTCTAGAGTGATAACCCTTGTATAATATCCGAAATATGCAAAGTAGAAGTTATTTACCTTTTTATAGGCGAGTACACATCACTCTGGAAACCTTGAAACAGTTGAAAAACGAGTATGACGTATATCCCGGCTTCGGACATCAACGAGACGAATATTTAGCTCAACAACACGTGGAAACGTTCTTTGTTCTTTCACCCAGGACACAGGTAGGAGTGAACCTACACGATAATATGTCTATTTATAAACCTCACTAATGTTTGTAATACAGTTCGTCATTACTACTTTTCAAAACAAGTTTGAAAGTAGCTTAGTTATATAAAAAGATACTTCACGATTAATGTTAAATCATATGATCGGAATATGCAGTGAAGGCTAACAATCACCGCAATTTTTTTATAATGACACACTTAATTTTTCCAATTACTAAAACTATTTATAACAATACAATTAACTGTGGGGCTTCACTGATTGTGGGTTTTCTGCTTCTTATGAACTGACTGTGGGCTTCGGCTACTTATGGACTGATTGTGGGGCTGCAGCTGCTTATGGGCTGATTGTGGGGCTTCAGGTACTTATAGACTGATTCTGAGGATTCAACTACTTATAGACTGATTGTGGGGCTTCGACTACTTATGGACTGATTGTGTGGTTTCAGGTACTTATGGACTGATTGTGACGCTTCGGCTACTTATGGACTGATTGTGGGGCTTCAGGTACTTATAGACTGATTGTGTGGTTTCAGGGCCTTATATAAGATGGTCAAGCCCCACAATCAGTTCATAAAGACCTGAAGCCACACAATTAGTCCATCAGAAACGGAAATGCCACAATCAGTCAATAAGTAGCTAAAGCCCCACAAACAGTCCATAAGTAATCGAAACCCCACAATCAGTCTATAAGTACCTGAAACCACACAATCAGTCCATAAGTAGCTAAAGCCCCACAATCAGTCCAGTTAATGTTTCGGACCTTTTGAGATCTGAGTTTGCTACAAATAATAAAGGTAGCAGCTTCGTGACGAATTTAGAAAAGAAACTCTTATAATAAATAAGGTGTTATAGGAGTATCTGAAACATTTTCCTTAAATCTGATTCAATAACGTTTTTGCTATTTGAAATGTCCAAGTATAGATATTAGCATATCAAGCTATAGAAAAAACAACAACAACTATATAACTATTCGTTAAACTTATTAACAGAAATCTCAGGCTAACGGAAAAAGAGATTCTATTTTTGAGTCAACGGGTGACATACCTAAACTTACAGGACGTCGTCTGTCAGTGACTCCGGCACCTGTACTAGCTCGAGCTAATCACAGGAGGAACGTGCGGGTAAGATAAACAGTAAATACTATTAGAGCTTCATTTTCTAGGCATCAAGATGTCACTTTCTTTGTTAAATGGCTTTACTGATATGATTACCAGATCTGTGGACTAAATGCCCTATGTTATTAGAAATAATAAATGATTAGAATAATGAAGACTAGTCCACAGTAGTTACTCAAGAATCGTGTATGTTTGAAGCGATATTTTGAACTATAGGTTCTTCCCTGTGGTTATCTATCTTTTCAGAAATCGCGTATGTTTGAAGCGATATTTTGAACTATAGGTTCTTCCCTGTGGTCATCTATCTTTTCAGAAATCGTGTATGTTTGAAGCGATATTTTGAACTATAGGTTCTTCCCTGTGGTTATCTATCTTTTCAGAAATCGCGTATGTTTGAAGCGATATTTTGAACTATAGGTTCTTCCCTGTGGTTATCTATCTTTTCAGAAATCGCGTATGTTTGAAGCGATATTTTGAACTATAGGTTCTTCCCTGTGGTCATCTATCTTTTCAGAACTTGCCAGTTGAATAAAGAAGCATGAGTATTATCTTTCGTTTGTTTTTGTGCAATGTGATAAGTGTGCATGTTGAGTTTAAATAGTAACATTTTGGTTTCAAAAAAATTAGTAATGTATAACACTTCATTGTTCTGTCTTGCTTTACAGTGTAGTTTTAAATTTATTCATATACTGATTGCTGATAAATAAGGTACAATGCCAAGTCATATTTAAAAACGATTTAAGTTTGTGTATTTTTTAAATTATGTTTTTAAAGTCATTTTGTTCTAAAAGTAACGCAGCGTTAATCACGCAGAGTTGTTTGTTGACGAGTGTATTGAGAGTTACTCGTACTTAATAAGAACGATGCTCTAATTATGAAGAGTTGTTTGTTGACGAGTGTATTGAGAGTTACTCGTACTTAATAAGAACGATGCTCTAATTATGAAGAGTTTGTTGACGAGTGTATTGAGAGTTACTCGTACTTAATAAGAACGATGCTCTAATTATGAAGAGTTGTTTGTTGACGAGTGTATTGAGAGTTACTCGTACTTAATAAGAACGATGCTCTAATTATGAAGAGTTGTTTGTTGACGATGGTATTGAGAGTTACTCGTACTTAATA